CCGGGCATCCCCGCGCGCCGCTGACCCCGCCCGCCCGGCCCTCTCCCGCAGGCGCCCTGGACGACCTCGAGCGCGCCTTGGCGCTGAGCGGCGGCCGGGGCCGCGCCGCCCGCCAGGGCTTCGTGCAGCGTGGGCTGCTGGCGCGACTGCAGGGCCGGGACGACGACGCCCGCGGGGACTTCGAGCGGGCTGCGCGGCTGGGCAGCCCCTTCGCGCGGCGCCAGCTGGTGCTGCTCAACCCCTACGCCGCTCTGTGCAACCGCATGCTGGCCGACATGATGGGGCAGCTGCGCGGCGCCCCGAACCAATAAAGCTGCCGGGCTCACCGACTCCGCCTGCTTCTGCGTCGGGCCCACGCGCCACGCACAGGGGCAGGGACGCTCGGGGGAGCGCGGCAAGGAGGCCCGCCCGGGGCCGGCCACCACCTGCCTGGGGAGGGAGGGCCCGTGGCGCCCGCGGTCGGGCGTTGATTGGCCCTGCCTGGCCGGCCCCCGCCCTTGCCGCGGACTGCGGCGCCCTTCAGACCTGAGCAGTCGCTCGGGCTGCGCTCGGGGCGGCAGCCAGGTGAACGGTCCGGGAGTGGGCGGGGCGGAGGGAGCACGCTGCGGCGACCCCCGCGCCTGCGATTTTTCCCGGCTCGGCTCCAATCCAGCCCAGCAACCAGGATTGGGAAAGGTGGGATGGGGAATGGGGCAGGAGGGAGGTCCGGGCCGGGGGGAAGGCGAGTCCTCTGGGGGTGACGTTCGTGTGCGCGTGTGTGCGTCCGATTGCTCTCGCTGCTTCTGTAAGCTTGCGGGTGTGTGCGGTTTGTACCCATGGAGTCAGTGCTGGATCCTGCTCCCACGCGCGTCCGAGCACCTGCTGGGTGTGTGTGTGTGTGTGTGTGTGTGCGTGTGTGTGAGTGCATTGTGGCTTCGGGCTCTATTGTGGGCTATTCTGCATTTGTGTTTCCATGCTTGGTTCCTGGAGAGTGAATTCCTGGAGGAACTGCTGGGCCCGTCAGCTCCCACCTGGCTCACAGCGCGGCTCGCCCCTTCTCTCAGCAGTCCGGGGCCCTGGCAGGGCCATGGCGCTGCCCCCAGGCCCAGCTGCCCTCCTGCACTCACTGCTGCTCGTGCCGGGCCTCCTGAGCTCAGGTACTCACCCTGTTCGTTCTTTGCCAGAGCGCTTCTGGGGGCCAGCGCCCCCTCGCTGCGTGCACGATGCCCTGGGTGCCCAGTCCAAGCCCTGGGCTCCGGGCTAGGTTTCCCTCTCTCACCTGCCATGGGTCCAGCCAGTCCCTGGTGAGAGAACCCCGGTGCCCTGTCCCCCAGCCTGCAGTCCCTCTGCAACTGGACTCGGCCTGGTCAAAGAACAGTATGGAGCCTCCCTAGAGGCCCCCTGCTTTGTTCCAGGTTGGGGGGAGTTGGCACCACAGATCGATGGTCAGACCTGGGCGGAGTGGGCACTTCGGGAGAATGAGCGCCACTCCTTCACCTGCCGGGCTCAGGCCTCTTAGTTGTCCTGTTTGCCCTGGTGCGTGCCAACCCACCTGCCAATGTCACCTGGATCGACCAGGATGGGCCGGTGATTGTCAACACCTCCGACTTCCTGGTGCTAGACGCCCAGAACTACCCCTGGCTCACCAACCACACCGTGCAGCTGCAGCTCCGCAGCCTGCCGCACAACCTCTCGGTGGTGGCCAGCAACGATGTGGGAGTCACCAGTGCCTCGCTTCCGGCGCCCGGTGAGCATTGCCAGCAACTGGCCCAGCGTAGCCTCAGGTGGGCGCAGGGACCATAGCACAGACATGGGAGGACTTGTTGCTTTGGGGAGGTTAGGGGGTGAGCTGTCCCTGGCCACCTTGGGCAAGGAGGGGGCAGAGAAATATTGAGGGCATCCTGGGGGTGGGGGCACTGCCTACTTGGAACCTAACCAGGACACAACCTGCAGGGCTCCTGGCCACCCGGGTGGAAGTGCCACTGCTGGGCATCGTCGTGGCTGGAGGGCTTGCCCTGGGCACCCTAGTGGGGTTCAGCACCTTGGTGGCGTGCCTGGTCTGCAGGAAAGAGAAGACCAAAGGTAGGGCCGGGGGCACTGGGGGCCGAGGGTGGCTGTGGGTAGCAGCCAGAGCTGCAAGTGGGGCTGGGCAGGGCTCTTCCAGAGTGTGGCTGGGGTAAGACAGCGTGCACCCCTGCACACCAGGTGGCAGGGGCAGGCACTGGGAGCCCCATCTCTGCTGGGCATTTGAGGCCTCTGTTCTGAGGTCCCGGCTCTGAAAGGGCAGGGGTGGAGCCCGGCGTGGGGGGGTGCACTGGCAGTCACGGCCTGGTTTCTTTCTCCTCAGGCCCCTCCCGGCGCCCATCTCTGATCTCTAGGTAACTCTCCCTGGGGCTGGGTGGACGGATGGTTTGGACCTGGAGGCAGGTGGCGACCGGAGCCTGGGCTGCTGGTGCCAGCACGCACTGAAGCCTCCGTCTGCCCTGTAGTGACTCCGACAACCTGAAACTCAACAACGTGCGCCTGCCGCGGGAGAACATGTCCCTCCCGTCCAACCTGCAGCTCAACGACCTCACTCCGGATTGCAGAGGTACGCCCAGCCCTCCTCTCCCCCTGCCCCCACTGCTCCTGCTTTAAAAGCATCAGAAGTGCTTGGGAGACAGAGGGAGAGCTTGCTACCCAGCGGGGCTCGGCCCCATCAGGCACGCGCCTCATCCTGGCACCACCCTCTCTGTCATCCAGCAGGGAAACCAGCAGACCAGCAGATGGCTCAGAATAGCAGCCGGCCAGAGCTTCTGGACCCAGAGCCCGGCGGCCTCCTCACCAGCCGAGGTACTGGGGAGGGAGGGGCCTGCTGCTGCCTCTCTGCTCCCCTCCCGTGCTTATCCTGAGTACCAGGGGCAGAGAGGCCCCCAAGGATCGAGGGTCCCTGATTGTCCCCCCTCCCCAGGCTTCATCCGCCTTTTTTTTTTTTGAAATGAGTGTCTTTATTGCTCGTACCATACAAATAGGAGGGGGAGGCCAGTGGGGACGGGCAGAACTGTCCGGTGAACAACACATACACAGGAAAGAAGACCCCACCCAAGCTGCCCCCACCCCACTTGCCTTTGTCAACTGCCTAGAACAGGGATGGGGTGGGGCCTGCTGCTGCCTCTCTGCTCCCCTCCCGTGCTTATCCTGAGTACCAGGGGCAGAGAGGCCCCCAAGGATCGAGGGTCCCTGATTGTCCCCCCTCCCCAGGCTTCATCCGCCTCCCAATGCTGGGCTACATCTATCGAGTGTCCAGCGTGAACAGCGATGAGATCTGGCTCTGAGCTAAGGATGGGACAAGTGCCCTCCTGGCCCCGCTGCACCCTCCCACTCCTGCTCCAAGGCATCCCGGGCCTGGCCACGCCACCGCCACTTGGCTGCCTCCTGGCTGTTGTGCCCTCTGATGCGTTTCACTGGGCCCTGACACACAGGGGCACAGATGTCCTCTTGCCTGAGCCCTTGTGCTCACTCAGGCTGGGGACCGCATGAGATGGCTGGGCCCAGGCAGGGGGGCTCTTCCGTCAGGTGGGTTCCCTCGTCACCCGGCATCCAGGTGTGGCGTGGCCTGCAAGGCCCCCGTCCCGATACTCCTCTGCACCTGTACAGTAGGCATGGGGCTGCCTGCGTGGGGGGACAGGGAGGGTCCTGCACGTTCTGGACCTTCCTGTGCTATGTAGCTTTGTTCCCTCAGGGAAATGTAGGACCCACCCCCCCAGCTGCCCAGCCCATCTGCCCTCCACACAGGAGCCGGCCCCTGGCCCCGGGGCCCTGGCCAAGCACAGCCTGGTCCCTTTTGCTGCACACCTCTCTGTCCTCTGTCCCCTTGCCCTGCCTCCTCCCGGGCATCAAAGATTATACACTGGACTTACTCCACGGGGCCCTAGACGACCCCAAAGGCCTGGCCCCTGGCAGTGCCAGTGCCTGGTGTTGGCACAAGTCAGGGTAGAAGGAGGAGGTGACAAGTCCGTGGCACTCAGGACAGCATGTAGCTATGCATCACTTTCACAGTGTTGGCACTTTAAGCACAGCCCCCAGGGAAGGGGGTGAGCGAGGGCCCCAGAGCCCCGAGTTTGACCTCTCTGGCATTCACTGTGAGCGACTGAGGCTCAGGATCGATGGTGGCTTTCTCTCTCTGCATGTCTTCCCCTCGGTGGGACCCAGGCCCCGGCCACGCCCTGGCTGCCCCACCCTCTGCACTTTAGGGGCTGGTCCCCACAGGCACAGAACGCAGTGGTGCCAGCAGTTCCGGGGGTTGTGGAGAGAGAGGGAGCCCACAAACCCCCCAAAGCAACCTAAGAATGCTGTAAAAAGCAACGTGGCGATGACAGGAGAGCACCAGGTGCAGTGTGTTTCTCCCCTGTTGAGGTCTTATTTTATAATTTTTCCCATGTTACTGCCTAGGACAGTGCGAAGCACAAAGTAAATTCCATAAACTTGACTGAATGGAGTTCCATGTCTTTGCTTCATTTCTTCAAATGCCTTCTAAATGAAATCTCTGAATCACACAGTGGAGAAAATAAATAGCGAGCACCCACGCTCGGCTCTGTTGCATCAACCCGCGCCCACGTGGGACGCCGTCGCCGCGGGCGGAGCATCAGCCTACTGCACAGCGCCGGCCCCACAATCCTTATTGTAAATACGGCCCCTTCCTTCTGTCCTCAGAGGTGCTCCTGCCCAGAGCCTCCGCGGTCAGAGCTGTCCATCTTCTGTTGGGGCAAGGAGGTAGGTGGGGAAGTTTCTGGGACCCCACTCCGTCCACAGCCCTTCACCAGGCCTGCTCTCAGCCGCACACGGCACACCTGCCATCAGAAATGCCTGGCACTTTCCATTCCTGGCACTTTCTAGGGTTCCGGTGTCCAACAGCTTCCGTTCTGGGCTCTCTCCTCCACGGTTTCAGAGTTCTTCTCTGTCTCCCCACCCTGCCCACCCCAAATCAGTTACTCTTGTCCACATTCCAAAAGTATGTTGCTTATATAGTCGGTGGTCATTTTCTTCTGTCATCTGTCCTAACTGGTTTATGGTTTTTTTAAAACAAAAATTCTTGAGACAGGCATAATGGCACAGCAGGTTAAGCTGCTGCTTGAAATGTTGGCATTTAATATCTGAGTGCCAGTTCAAGTCCCAGCTGCTCTGATTCCAATCCACTTCCCTGCTAACATGCCTGGAAAAGCAGCAGAGGATGGCCCAAGTGCTTGGATCCCTGCCACCCACTTGGGAGACTTTAGCCAAGTTCCATGTCCCTGGCTTTGGCCTGACCCAGCCCTGGCTGTTGCAGTCACTTGGGGAATAAACCAGCAGATGAAAAAGCGTTCTCTATTTTAAAATATTTATTTATTCTCAAAAGAGTCACAGAGATAGAGGGAGAGACCCTTCATCCTCTAGTTCACTCCTCAGATGGCCACAACAGCCAGCCATGGGCCAGGCCGAAGCCAGGAACCTCTTCCAGGTCTCCCACATAGATGCAGGGGCCCAAGCGCTTGGGCTATTTTACACTGCTTTCCCAGGCACATTAGCAGGGAGCTGGATCGGAAGTGGAGCAGCCGGGACTTGAACTGGTGCCCATGTGGGATGCCAGCATCGCAGGTGGTGTATGCCACAGTGCCAGCCCCGGGACAGCTCTTTCTCAAACTCTCCTTCTCTGTTACTCTGCCTTTCAAAAAAGCAAAACTCTTATGTGTCGTTTTTTTTTAGTAAGATTAAAGGAAGGTGTAAAGATGTAACTACTTGGGCTTGACTTTTGTTGTAGAAGTGTTAAGGACCTCGGATCAGCAGAGACGGGGAGGGACATTTCCAACACGAAAAACAGCCTCCATAAAGGCTGAGTCAGAAGAGAACTCCCAAGCCCTGTTTGGAGTGTGGCAAGCAGCTGGGTTTTGCGGTCCACATCTGGGAACTGTGGACGTGAGGGTCTTGGGGTGGAGACAGAGCAGCCAAATGGAAAATCTAAAGAGCCACGCTGCAGATTTACGCTTGGTGGCACTTCATCTTCTCACGTATCTGGTACCCTCGGAAGAGCCGAAGAGGTGAGCTCGTGTTCATTGTTTTACAGCATGGTTAACGAGGCAGAGAAGGTAACTGACCTCTCCCAGGGCACAGGGCAGGCAGCCAGGAGGGAGCAGCTGGAGATGGGGGACAGCGGAGACTGTAAGCAGTGGCTCAGGCCAGGTTGGAGAGCAGAAGGGATACTCAAAAGCCCAGGCACAGCCAGGAGCTCAGACAGGAAGTGCAGCTCACCCGCGCTATTCGCAGTCTCTGGGCGTGGATTCAGCCACGTAACACTTCGTGTAATCCCCAGGTCACCCCTCGCAGGGTTTGGGATGTGCTTCAGAGCAGGGAGAACCTGGAGTCACCAGGGCAGGCACTGTGGTGGGGCAGGTACAGCCACTGCCTGTGACGCTGGCACCCAGATGGGGGTCGGTTCAGTCCCTAGCTCTCCCTCCCTCTCTGTAACTGTACTTTTCAAATAAATAAACTTAAAAAAAAAATCAAAAAAGAAGCAGTGCAGTTTCAGATTTCCTGACCAGAGATTGCTTTAACTCCAAAACATTCCCCAAATCCGTCGGTCTCTCCAACTTCCGCCCTGACCCCAGCCACAGCCACCTGCCTGGATTCCTGCAACAGCGAGGCGGGGAGCGCACAGCCAGGCGGGGCCTGCTGGAGGCCGGCATTTTCTGGACAGGGACCCCGAGCAAAACGGGTCCCTCCACGCCCGCTCTGGGGTGGCCTCCGTGGGCAAAGCTGGTTGATGACACTGCCTGCACGTGACCTCATTATTACCAGGCCACCTTCTTTGCCTCCGCCTTCTGCTCCAACAGCCTTTTCTCTTTCATTTCAAAGAAAAGCAGGAAACAACAACAGGTAGGGTATTTTATTTAGAAAATCTTTGTCAGTGAACTTGAAGGTAATTGCATTCCTATCCCAGACAAAGTATCTTTTTAAGCTTTCCTCCCAGCCCGAGCTCCACGGATCCCTCAGCAAATTCCAGTTCTTCTCGTCCCCGTCTCCGCAGCGGTGAAGCTGCGCACCGCCCCAGGAAGGCAGCCTGTGGGCCGGCCGTGCCCTCGCTGCCCGGGAAGCGGCTCAGCTGAAGGCCGGTGTCTCGGCATCCCCGGCTTGGGAGGTGGAGTTGGAGGGAGGGGTGAATGCTTTCTTGCCCTCAGCGAGAGCCTTAAAATGCTGTGAGGAAAGAGAGGGAAGTTAGGGTACGCACATAGTTGCTGCATTTTAGCAAGAACCAACCTCTCGCAAACCCGTCAGCTCCTATTGTCTCCTAATTCTGCTTCCAAAACAGCATCCTGCTGGTGGCTGTGTAAAGCGCCCCGAGGGCTGAGCGTCTGGCCCAGCAGCTGTTCAGCCACAGTCTGGGACATGCGCACCCCACATCAGGGAGTCTGCGGTCCAGTCCCAGCTTCCTGCTGGTGAGCCCTGCGGGCAGCAATGATGGCTCAAGTGCTTAGGTCCCCGCCACCGCCATGGGAGACCTGGATGGGACTGAGTTCCTGGCTTCGGCCTGGCCCATCCCTGACCGGTGTGGGTATGTGGGGAGTGAACCAGCAGATGGAAGATCTCCATCAGTGAATCTGTCGCTCGGCTTCTCCAATGAAAATAAATAAATACAGATTCACAGACGAGGCCTCTTTTACCTCCTCCCTGCTTCCACTCAGGAGGCCCTTGGTTCTGCTGTGAGAACACAGTCCTCCAGAGACCCTCCCCCAGCTTCCCGAGGCGCACACCCTCCACCCTCCCCCTCCCCCACTGCTCTCGGAAGGGCAGTGGGAACTGCAGACAGAGCCCTGGGACACGGCCGCAGTGATCGCAGGGGACCACGGTGGGCTCCATGCCTGGCCCACCTGTGAATTCTTGAACTCCGAGTAGAGGGAAAAGAGCAGGTGCAGGGACTGAATCCGGCTCTTGTAGACAGGGATGTCCAGGATGGCTAAAACAAACACACACACACACTTCCTAGAAACAGAAGCAAACAAACTCGGGGATGACAAGGCACGTGCGTGTGTCCCCAGCAAGCAGCCACGTGCACCCAGGCATCACCCTTGAGTGCTGGCTCAACTGGAGGCAGTACCCACACCCACGGCCTATCAAAAGCCTGGCCCGGATCTGTGCAGGGGCGGGGAGCAGGAGAGCACTCACCACAGATCATGTCGATGTACTCCGCCAGGCTGCAGTCGATCTCGGCCGTGGGCAGGCTCACCTGCACGGGGTGCGGGTTCAATCAGAAGTCAAAAGGCTCAAGCCCCAGGGCTCCCAGCCTGAACCGTGTCCCCCCACCCCGGCCCCCCGATTCTGTGTTGATTGCACCGCAGAACGTGAATGTATGTGGAAAGATCACTGAGTGACCCTGAGACTGTCAGTGCCGTACGAGCGGTGGTCTCACCGCAAGCGGCGTCCAGGGCAGACACACACTGAGGACAGCCACGTGAAGAAGGGAAATGGCCAAGCAGAGAGGCCTCAGGGAACCAGCCCTGCCCACAACTTGACCTTGCACTCCTGGCCTGCAGCATGTCACACAGCAGCCATGGCCAACTCATTCAACACGCTTCCCCCGCCCCCAGGGAGGCAGACTGGTCACACTCACTAACTACCGGAGTGGCGGGTGAACCATCAGACCAAAGGGTTTGGTAACTAAACTAGACGGCCGTGTTGTCTTCCTGTGTGGATCTGTGAAGAAGTGGCTGGCTATGGCCAAGGAATTACTTGATGTTGTAATCCCTAATGGTCCTGAGACCCCCATGGGGACAGAGAAAACGGACATGGTGTCGTACCCCGGTGACAGGTGCTGGATCAAAACAAGTCACATGGCAAGTTTAAAACTGCAGCCTTCATAAAACTTTTTCTCTCTCCACCAAAAACAGTGCATACAGTTCTGAAATTTGCTTACCTGCTTTTTTCCCAATTTAACCATCTACCACTGCTGTCTGTTAATACTGCCAAAATAATCCCTGCCATGGTTCCCTGGCACAGTATTCACTGAGGGATGTCCTGTAATCTAGCTGTCCAGTCCCCTAGTCACACTTTTAAAGTGTCATGAAGAAAGACATTGTTTCTTCAAGAAACTACTAAAAACTGTCTTCATGGAGCCTACATTTTAGCAGGGAGAAAAAAGCCACTGAGGTATAGATAGCATAGTAGAACATAAGGATTGGGGCCAGCACTGTGGCGTAGGGGGTAAAGCCGCCACCTATGGTGCCAGCATCCCATATGGGCACTGGTTCTAGTCCCAGCTGCTCCACTTCCAATCCAGCTCTCTGCTGTGGCCTGGGAAAGCAGTGGAGGATGGCCCAAGTGCTTGAGCCCTGCACCCACATGGGAGACCTGGGGGAGGCTCCGGGCTTTGGATCAGCCCAGCTCCGGTCATTGTGGCATTTGGGGAGTGAACCAACAGATGGTTCTGCCTCTGCCTCTGCCTCTCTGTAACTCTACCTAAATAAATAAATCTTTAAAAAATAAAATATAATAATAAAATAAAAGAAGTACATATGTTCACCAAAAGATATGTTAGAATATTCCTTGGACTGGTGCTGTGGCGTAGCAGGTAAAGCCGCCATCTGCAGTGCCAGTATCCCATATGGGCACCAGTTCAAGTCCCGGCTGCTCCACTTCCGATCCAGCTCTCTGCTATGACCTGGGAAAGCAGTAGAAGATAGCCCAAGCCCTTGGGCCCCTGCACCCACATGGGAGACCCAGAAGAAGCTCCTGGCTCCTGCCTTCAGATCAGCACAGCTACAGCCACTGCAACTAATTGGAAAGTGAACCAGCGGATGGAAGACCCCTCTCTCTCTCTCTCTCTTTGCCTCTCCTTCTCTCTGTATGTAACTCTTTCAAGTAAATAAATAAATCTTAAAAAACAAAAAACGAATGTCCTAGTTGCACTATTGTTACAACCAAAAACAGAAACTTCCCACATGTCATCATAGTATGGATAAATTGTTAAGTATTCAAATGATAAAATGGTATATAGAAACAAGAACAAATGAACAATCACACAGAAAAATATAGACAAATATCCCAAAATACTGGGCTAAAGAAGACACCAAAGCGTGATTAAGTTGAAATAATATAGGGGTTGGCATTGTGGCACAGCAAGCTAAACTGTCACTGCAATGCCTGCAGACCATATAGGAGCCCTGGTTCAAATCTCAGCTGCTCCACTTCTGAGCCACTTCCCTGCTGATATCCATGGGAAGGCAGCAGATGGTCCGAGGGCTTGGGCCCCTGCACCCACGTGGGAGAGCAGAATGGAGTTCCTGGCTCCTGGTTTCAGCCAGCACTGGTTGTTGTGGGCATCTGGGGAGTGGTTCCCTCTCTCTCTGTTACTCTGCCTTACATATAAACACATAAATCCTTAAAAACAAAACCAAAAACAACAAAAATCCTGAAAAAATTTAGAAAAAGTACAAAACACCTGCAGGCAAAGCTCATGTATGCCATCAGAAATCAGGATGGTGGCTGCCTTGGGAGGTGGGGCCTGAGGCCTTCCAAGGAAGCTGGCAGCATTCTGCACACTGACCTAACGCGCACAGCGGGCTCAGTGGCCAAAGCAGCATCACTACTCACCGCATGTGCACACTTCTGACTGGATGGTGTGCTTCAATTTTTCTTTTATTTTTTAAAAATGATTTATTTGAAAGTCAGAGTTGCAGAGAGATCTTCCATCTGTTGGCCACAATGGCTGGGGCTGCGCTGGGCCAGGCCAATGCCAGGAGCCAGGAGCCAGGAGCTTCATCCCGGTCTCCCACACAGGTAGCAGGGGCCCAAGCACTTGGGCCATCTTCTGCTGCTTTCCCCAGGTCATTAGCAGAGAGCTGGATTGGAAGTGGAGCAGCCAGAACAGGAACTGGCTTTACCTGCTAAGCCACAACACCAGCCCCCATACTTCCATTTCTAAAATGTTAATAATACCGTAAGGGACAAAACACTGGACCGTGGCATGAGGGCCACATCTCTTACTTCTTGTTCCTTTCCACTCACCTTGCCCAAAAGTTCCTCAAATTCTGGGGACCATTCCTGCATCAGGGTGTCGATGTCGGGCATGGGCCTGGAAATACAGAGGTAACAGTGATGAGAAAGCTGGATCGAGGGCAGCAGCAGCCCCCAGACTGGGACGTGCCTAGAGGGAGGAGAGGGCCTCACTCTGGCCCATGAAGAATGCAGGAGAACCTAGGCTGTGCCAACCAAATTCCCCCAGGGCATGGGGATCAGAGGAGCTGCCCCGTAATGACACCAGAGAAATCAGCATCCTTCTGTCTGCAATCCCAGCCAGCAGCTGACCAAACTGGTCCCCAGGCTTTGGGCCTCTTCTCAGGAGCAGTGGGTCAAAGGTGGCAAAGGTGGCAAGGGTGAGGCATGCCACAGCGCACGCACTCTCACCTGGTGTAGTGCACAGTGGCAGGAGGCTTGGACCGGTGCAACTCGCAGATACTCTCGATCCACGTGTCAATGGCTTTGGGATTCTTTTCCGCGTCTTCCATGCTCTTTACTTTCACATGTTGCTGGGAAAACAAGGGGAGACCCTGGCAGACAGTCCTGAAGCGCCGCTCTGGTTTGTAACGGGGCGACTCACCACATACAAGGGAGCCGAGGAAAAGGGCAGCCTAACCACGGCCCAGCGAAGGCTCCGGGCAAGTCCACGGGCAGGACTGACCACAGTGAGACACCACTTCGCACCCACAGGAGGGCCAGAACCACAAGACTGCTGAGAGCAAGTGCTGGTGAGGCTGTGGAGAAACCAGACCCTCCGTTACTGCTGTGGGACTGCACGGCGGTGCGGCCACTGCGGACAACGTTAGCGACAGCCTGTGGCCCGGCAGTCCCACTCTTACCCAGGGATCTAAGAGGAAGAACAGTACCTGCCCATGCAAAACTGCTCCCCGGACAGTCACCACAGCATCGCTCATCAAAGTGGGAACGAGTGGTGAGTGAGTGAACAAAACGTGGTGAACACAAACAACTAAACACTAGGCGGCCCCAGAAGAGGCTGAAGTGGTTGCCGGCGTCTGGGCAGGAGGGGGAGAGAATGAGGAGTGACTCCGTATGTGCGTGGTGTTTCTATTTGGAACGATGAGAATGTGTCTAAATTAGAAGGTGACCATGGCTGTACAACTCTGTGAACCCACCAAGCACCAATGAGTGGGACAGTGTAAAGGGTCAACTACACGATATGTAGATTATGTCCCGAGTAAACTGTCTGCGAAAGCAGAGCTGGCCCAAAGCCACAGCTACTCCTTTCGACAGGAAGCACGGTACAAATGGCCCCGCTGGCCCTCTGCAGCGGTGCCCTGGGATGGGCCAGTCTCTTACCGTGACGTTGTGCTGCTTGGAATTCTCCGTCAGCCACAGGGAGAGCACTGTAGGGTCAGACTGCTTTGTAGAAGGTTCATCCAACACCAACAGGCCAAGGTTGTCAGGCTTTCCGTCAGGACGTGGGACCTGGTTAAGAACAAGGGAAGGAGGCAGAGAGGAAAGTGGGAGGGCCGCAACAGATCACACCTGCTGCGTCAATCAGCTGAAAAGGAAGAACTCTCTGGCTCACCTTGTTCCCAGTATTAGAAAGCATGCTGGGACGGGGCCAGAGTCCTCGTGAGGGGAGGGGTTTAAGCCGCTGCCTACGATGCCAGCATCCCATATGGGAACTGCTCCACTTCCAATCTAGCTCCCTGCTAATGCACCTGCGAAGGCAGTGGAAGGCTGTCCAAGTATCTGGGCCCTGCATCCACGTGGAAGTTCCAGATGAAGCTCTGGGCTCCTAGCTTTGGCCTGAACAGCCCCCGCTATTGAGACCATTTGGGGAGTGAACCAGCGCATGGAAGATCTCTGTCTCTCTGTGTCTCTCCCTCTTCTCTGTAACTTTGCCTTTCAAGTAAAATAAAAATAAATCTTTAAAAAAAATAAAGCATGCTGGGGCCGGCATTGTGGTGCAGTGAACTGAGCCGCCACTTGTGACACCAGCATCCCCTATCATCGCATCCGGGAGCGCTGGTTGGAATCTTGGTTGCTCCATTTGTAATCAGCTCCCTGCAAATGCATCTTGGAAAGCACTGGATGATGGCCCAGGTACTTGGGCCCCTGCCACCCACGTAGGAGATTCAGATGTAGTTCTATATTCCTGGCTTCAGCCTGGCCCTGCCCTAGCTGTTGTGGCCATTTGGGGAGTGAACCAGCAAATGGAAGATATTTCTTTCTCTCTCTCTCCCTTTCTCTCTCTCTCTCTGATGCTCTGCCTTTCAAATAAATATATCTTTAAAAAAAAAAAAAGCATGATTGTTATCATGATGGACTAAATACTACCTAGACAAAAATATATTATCAGAGTCGGTGCTGTAGTATAGCAGGTAAAGCCACAGCCTACAGCGCCAGCATCAGCCCACCATATGGGCGCCATTTTGAGTCCCAGCTGCTCCGATTACAATCCAGCTCCTTGTTAATTGGCCTGGGAAAGCAGAGGAAGATGGCCCAAGTGCTTGGGCTCCTGCCACCCACGTTGGAGACCCAGAAGAAGCCCCTGGCTTTGGTCTGACCCAGCTCTGGCTGTTGTGGCCATGTGGGGAGTGAACCAGTGGATAGAAGTTCTCTGTCTCTCCCTCTTTCTCTGTAAACTCTGCCTTTCAAATAAAAATAAATACATCTTTAAAAAAGAAAAGAAAAAAATATATGATCAATAGGATCCTAAATATAAATCTTGGATTCATAATTAGGATGACAAATATATGACTTTCTGTGGGGAGCCATTGCACGGCGCCCTAAAGATGGCGCCGGCTCCTTTCCCCCGGAAGGACTGGCGAGAAACAAACATCTCCTAATAAGGAGATGTTTGAGCTCCCTTCCGGCTTCCGCGTTGCTGTACCAATCAATGCTTGCCACTTGGCCGCTTTTGATTGGTGCGCGGATGGCTATAAGAGGGAGGGGAGAAAAAAGGGCGCGAGATTCAAAGTTTGAAAGAGGTTCCTGAATAAACTGCTGGAAGAAGAGTTCGGGTCGTGTCTTCCTTGCTGGTCGAGGGACGCGACAACTGGTGGCCCGTACGGGGAACATCTCGAACGCGAACTCAGAACTTCCTGCAGTCAGGGCAGCGCTGGTAAGTCCCCCGGGAAAATAAGGTGGGGATCCGCGATAAGAGCGGGCAGTCCTGCGATAATAGCGGGAGGGTAGTTCTGCGATTAAAGCAGAGGAAGTTCTGCGACAAAAGCAGAAGGAGCTCTGACCCGTGGCCAGGGAAGGAGCGCAATTTTTGACGATGGGTAATTCACAGTCCCATGAAATTTTTCTGGCGCTGAATGCGCTGCTTCGGGAAAACGGTTTGAAACTTAAGCCTAGTACGTTGCATAGGTTTTTACGTAACTGCGATACCATTGCACCCTGGTATGGGGTTTCGGGAAGCCTTACTATCCCTTCATGGGACAAACTAGGCAGGGATTTGGATTTTGCATTTGAATAGGGTAATCTTGAAGGGGGAGTGAGACCAATATGGAAGTTAGTGCGAGCATGCCTCGAGGATGAGCAGTGTAGTGAAGCTATTCTGAGCGGTCAAGCTGCCTTGGAGGAGCTTCAGGAAGAGCGCTCTGAGAGAGCTGCCAGTGAAAAAGGGAAAACTTTGAAGGAGAGTCGGAAAAGAACTAGGAAAAAACTGTACCCCGATCTTTCCGAGTTGCGCAGCCCCTCCTTAGTAAGTAGTTCTAGTGCAGAAAGTAGCTCAGAAAGCAGCAGTGAGTCTGAAGAGTGTGGCGATAACAAAGAGTCTGATATAAAGCAAGTACGGGAATTAAATCGGCAAATGAGGAAATTGCAATTAAAAGGAAAAAAGGAACTTAAGCATGGTACTTTCAAGGGGAACTTAGGGGAGGAGCCTGAAGCCTCTCCTCCTCAGTATGAGCCTGTATCCGCGCAAGAAAGAGGGCGGACTTTCTGTCCGGGAGTCTGGAAACAGGTTGGTGCGGAGTTGTTAAGTGCCTATCCTGTCTTTCAAGATCCGCAAGGGCAGAGGTACGAGGAACCCCTCGACATAAAGATAATCAAATCACTAGCGGAGTCAGTAAGAGCCTATGGCATCAGCGGCTCGTTCACGCTGGCTCAAGTAGAAAATCTTCAAAGATACTGCATGACTCCAAATGACTGGAGCGGGTTGGCTCGTGCCGCATTGTCACCAGGACAATACTTAGACTTCAGAGCTTTCCTGATTGACTTTGCCAATGAACAAGTGGCAGAAAATGCAGCGGCAGGGAATCAGCATTGGGACAGAGATATGCTGCTAGGCATAGGGAGATTCGCTAACCAGCAGACAGGTTACCCACATGCAGTGTATGAACAAGTTAACAAGATAGCCATCAAGGCTTGGAAGTCTATACCCAACAGAGGAGAGGTAAGTGGGAATTTGACAAAGATTACACAGGGACCCACCGAGCCGTTTTCAGACTTTGCAGCGCGCATGGTGGAAGCTGCGGGTAGGATTTTTGGAGATCCAGATCGCGCCATGCCGCTGATAGAACAGTTGGTTTTTGAGCAGTGCACTAAGGAATGCAGAGCCGCTATAACACCATGGAAGAGCAAAGGGCTTCAGGTATGGATAAAACAATGCAGGGAAATAGGAGGGCCGCTATCCAACACTGGCCTCGCTGCAGCAGTCCTTCAAATCACGAAGGGCAATAGGGGATCAGGGAACGCTGGAGCATGTTTCAGCTGTGGAAAAATGGGACATATGAAGCGGCAATGTCCGCAAAGGGGAAGAGGCAAAGAACAAAGACAGGAAGGACCAGGAATTTGTCCAAAATGCAGGAAGGGAAAGCACTGGGCCAACGAATGCCGCTCGGTAAAGGACATTGACGGCAACGTCCTTGTTTCTGGCAATGGTGGGGCGCGTCCAAAAAACGGGCAGCGGGGCCCTCGTCCCCAGGGCCCGCAAATATATGGGGCATTCGAGAGTCAGCATCAGGGCGCCCATCAGGACCAGCAGCAGGGGAGGCAAAGTCAGTGGCCCAGCTTCAGACATCCCAGAGACCACGGAGAGCCACTGCAGGCTCTGCAGGCCTGGACCTCTGTGCCACCACCAGACTCATACTGACACCAAAAATGGGAGTGCAAGCCATTGAGTCAGACTTTCAGGGACCCCTAGAGGAAGGGACAGTGGGATTGTTGTTGGGACGTTCATCCTCTACCTTGAAAGGTCTCATAATTCATCCAGGAGTCATAGATTCGGATTATACTGGCATGGTGAAAATCATGGTTGAGTCCCCTAGAGGTATAACAGCTATTAATCCAGGAGACAGGATTGCACAACTTGTAATCCTTCCTAGCAAGCATTTGCAGTTCAGTGCATCAAAGAAACAACGAGGAAGTGAAGGCTTTGGATCCACAGGCGTAGATTGTACCTTCTTGTCTTTAGAACTAGACCAGAGACCAACCTTAAAGATAAAAATAAATGGAAAGGACATTCTCGGCCTACTAGACACAGGTGCAGACCGTAGTATCATCGCCTCCAAGGATTGGCCTCCAAAGTGGCCTAAGCAGGCATCCTCACAATCCCTTCGGGGACTGGGATATTCAGAAACTCCTGAGATGAGCGCAGTAATGCTGCGCTGGGAGGATGCAGAGGGACATTCAGGCACGGTGCAACCTTATGTTTTGGATTTACCTATCTCTTTATGGGGCCGAGACCTTTTGAAAGACATGAACTATAAATTAAGTAATGAATACTCCCGTGTTTCTCAAAAATTGATGAAGGATATGGGACACCATCCGAATTATGGAATAGGAAAATTCTTACAAGGAAGAAATGAGCCCACTGAAGTAGTGCAGAGGCCTTCTCGCCAAGGGCTGGGTTTTTCATAGGGGCCGCTGAGGAAGGTATTCCCATTACTTGGAAGCACGAGGACCCAGTGTGGGTTCCTCAGTGGCCTCTGTCCTCAGACAAATTGGTCGCAGCGCAGCAATTGATTCAAGAACAATTGAATTTAGGACACATTAGACCCTCTGTATCGCCTTGGAATACTCCTATTTTTGTAATAAAAAAGAAATCCGGGAAGTGGCGGTTGCTACATGACTTGAGAGTTATTAATATGCAGATGCAGGTCATGGGGCCGGTGCAACGTGGGCTGCCTCTTCTATCTGCACTTCCACAGGGATGGCCCATAATAATAATAGATATTAAAGACTGTTTCTTCTCCATACCCCTACATACAAAGGATTGTGAAAGGTTTGCCTTTACCTTGCCGGCGTGCAATCATGAGCAGCCTGACCAGAGGTATGAATGGGTTGTGCTTCCACAGGGCATGGCTAACAGCCCCACAATGTGTCAGCTATTCGTGGGTCAAGCGATTGGGCCTTTACGTAAGAGATTTTCTTCCCTAAAATGCATCCATTACATGGATGACATCCTCTTAGCAGCAAAAGACGAATTCGTATTAGATGATGGCTTTGCATATTTGATTCAGTTGTTAGAAAGTAAGAAGTTATTTATTGCCCCTGAAAAGGTTCAAAAAGGAAGCATTGCAACTTATCTGGGATCCTGCATAACTAGTACTCAAATTGTTCCTCAAAAGGTGGAATTGCGCAAAGATAGTTTAAAGACTTTAAATGATTTTCAGAGATTATTAGGAGATATAAATTGGGTTAGGGGTTATTTGAATCTTCCCAATTATGAACTTAAGCCACTTTATGTCATTTTGCGTGGTGATTCGGCATTGGACTCACCGCGGTGCTTAACTCCGGAGGCCAGGGAGGCCCTAGAGAAGGTAGAAAAGAAATTACAGGAGGCATTCTTATGCAGAATGAATGAAAATCTGCCATTGTCATTGTGCATTCTCCCAACGCTTAGCCAACCTACAGGGCTAGTATGGCAGGAAGGTCCGCTTTTATGGATACATCCAAGGAGCTCTCCAGCCAAGTCTATTGAGTATTATCCGGCAGCGGTGGCAAAGCTAGCACTGGAAGGTTTGCAACAATGTTTACAATATTTTGGAAAATTGCCGTGTGAAGTGATTGTTCCTTATGATGCCAAACAAGTCAACGTCCTATGTGCTCTTTTAGATGATTGGGCAGTGTTTCGCTGTGGGTTCCCAGGCTTTATAGACAATCATTTACCAAAAAGTCCATTGTTACAATTCTTTAAAGAACATCCGGTAGTATTTCCAAAAATTACAGCCGCTGAGCCATTACTAGGTGCTCCAAATATATTTACGGATGGGTCAAAAACAGGCTGTGGGGTTTATATGGTAGAGGGTAATGACCCGGTATTTCATCAGTTTCAGCCAGGCTCACCTCAAGTTGTGGAGTTAAAAATAGTTATTGAGGTCCTTAAGCAGTGCTCTTTTGCCTTTAATTTGTTGTCAGATTCCTTATATGTGGTGAACGCATTAAAGATATTGGAAACCGCAGGGCCGATTAAACCTTCTAGCCCAATTGCATCCCTATTACATATAGCCCAGCAGTTGCTTTGGTCACGGAAAAATCCCTTTTTCGCTCAGCACATTAGAGCCCACACAGGCATGCCTGGTCCTTTATGTGAAGGCAATGCGCGAGTAGACCTGTGTACTAGACAGGAATTCATCTTTTTTACTACTTCCGCAGAGGCTGCTAAAGCTTTCCATCAATCTTTTCATGTCAACGCGCGCGCTTTGCAGCAGAAATTTCATCTTTCCCGCGCAGATGCCAGACAGATTGTACTTGATTGCGCTGACTGTGCTGTTACTCGTGCACAACCTAGTGTTGGCGTAAACCCTAGAGGGTTACTGCCTGGGAGAGTATGGCAGATGGATGTGACCCATGTATCGGAATTTGGGAAATTGAAATATGTTCATGTCTCAGTGGACACGTGCTCAGGCATTATGTATGCCTCTCCCCTCAGTGGTGAATCTACACGTCAGGTGATCGCTCATTGTCTGGATGCATGGGCCGCCTGGGGGAAACCCCAGGTGCTAAAAACTGATAATGGCCCGGCCTATACATCTCAAACCTTTACCACCTATTGCCAAAAAATGGAGGTTCAACTTGTCCATGGATTGCCATACAATCCTCAGGGCCAGGGCATAATTGAGCGAGCACACCGCACACTGAAAGAATATCTTTTAAAACAAAAAGGGGGAGTTGGCTATAGCCGCACCCCGAGAGAGAGAATTGCCTTAGTCTTATTTACAATTAATTTTTTAAATTTGGATGTGCATGGGCACTCAGCCGCGGATAGGCATCAGCAACAAGGAAACCCAAGTAGAGGGTTGGTAAAATGGAAAGATCTCTTGACGGGCCAGTGGCGTGGCCCTGATCCCGTGCTGGCATGGGCACGAGGTGCTGTTTGTGTTTTTCCACAGGATCAACATGACCCGGTGTGGGTTCCGGAGCGAGCGGTCAGGCGGGTCTGCCACGAGGAGAATCCTGCTGTTGCTTTTGATACTTCTGCCTCAAATGCAGTGGACACTGGCGGAGCAGAGATGGGGGATTCTATCAGTATTCCCAAAGCCGATGCCGAATTGGTCCGCGGAATTTGACTACACCTTGGAGCAACTGCGCCTTGCCGTGGTCACCATCAACTCCACGCGTGTGGATGTCTCCTTCGCATCTGGACTGTCATCCCAGATCCAGCTGTCTCCAGCCTGAAGGAGTGGGTGGGACTTGGAGCTTTGACGGGGTTGCTGTTACTTGTTGTGTTATTTTGCCTGTGGTGTTTGTGCAGGATGAGGACAGCTCATTGGCGGGAATTGGCCATGATAGCTCAAGCCTTTTATGCCCTTGAGGCTGGACAACTGCCGCAAGCATGGCTGGCCTTCCTTGAATGCTAGGCATGGGTGCAGGGTGCGAGGCAAAGCACTGCAGAGAGAACGAGCCATTACGTTCTCTGGAAGGCAAGTCTGTCTGCATGTGGGTTGGCATCCCAGATCCCACCCCCGCGAAAAGGATGCTGTTCCAGGTGGATGCCTGGCAGTGGGGGACAGACCCCTACCTTCTCCTGTAATCCTTAGATGCCTAGTTCTAAAACAAAAAGGGGGAACTGTGGGGAGCCATTGCACGGCGCCCTAAAGATGGCGCCGGCTCCTTTCCCCCGGAAGGACTGGCGAGAAACAAACATCTCCTAATAAGGAGATGTTTGAGCTCCCTTCCGGCTTCCGCGTTGCTGTACCAATCAATGCTTGCCACTTGGCCGCTTTTGATTGGTGCGCGGATGGCTATAAGAGGGAGGGGAGAAAAAAGGGCGCGAGATTCAAAGTTTGAAAGAGGTTCCTGAATAAACTGCTGGAAGAAGAGTTCGGGTCGTGTCTTCCTTGCTGGTCGAGGGACGCGACAACTTTCATTTATAATGAGATAATAAAGTATTACTTACTAGCAATGAGTGTAATTTGGATCAGATAGCAAGGTTAAGGGTTCTGGTGAAATGAATATGTTATCACTGTAGCCAATGCAGTCTAGGAAATTACTGGAATTGTTAGAGGGAGGGCAGGCAGTCGGGAGAAACATCTAAGGAGCCAGTTGTAGGATGGACTGCCTGTACCTTTAAGAATGCATCGATGTCGCCGACAGCTGGGATGAAATCCGGAATGAAGGGTTTCAGTTTGTGATCCAGCTCGATCAACTGAGGTGTGTACCTAGGGGATTGTCAAGGCCAAGTGGAGACAGTCAGAGAAAGCCACTCTACTGTTTAGGCTTGAGACACAGAAGGAGACGGCCCTCTTGCAGACTAGAGGTAGGCAAGGTCCGGGTGAGGCAGCCAGGGCGGGTGGAGGGCGAGGTCCTAGCGCTCACCTGCTGATGTACTGGAAGAGCTCCTTAATCTCGGCAGAAACGGGCAGGTGCTCATAGTCCGCAGGATTGTAGGCCCTGGGGAAGGGGACACCACTTGGTCAGGTGCCCGGAGAAGAGCGAGGTGGCAGAGCGTGTGTCCCCTGACCCGGGGACGGGCCCTGATCCAGGGCTGTGAAAGGCAGCTTTAAAGCTGGTGATAATTCCTTCTCCATCATCTGACAGTGAAGGAGGACGCAACTGCAGGAAATCCAAAACAGAATTCTTTTTATGTCAAACCGTAACAAAAATCGCCTTCCCTTTTTGTGAATGGAAGGAATTATGAGAGAATGTGGAATAAGAGATTTTGATTTCTGACATGGAAATACTTCACGCCAAGAAAAAAATGTTTTAGAGATGATGTTTTGACGATGTTTATGAAAGCAAAATCATTGGAACCAAATGAAATATCCAAACTTCGGAAGATGGTTGGGTTTGTCAGACTGCATTTTACACAGTTAATACCAAGTCCTCGTGTGGGGCAGGCATTTGGCCTAATGGCACCGTGGCTCACTAGGCTAATCCTCCACCTGCGGCACCGGCACCCTGGGTTCTAGTCCCGGTTGGGGCACCGGATTCTGTCCCAGTTGCCCCTCTTCCAGGCCAGCTCTCTGCTGTGGCCCGGGAAGGCAGTGGAGGATGGCCCAAGTGCTTGGGCCCTGCATCCATATGGGAGACCAGGAGAAGCAGCGGGCTCCTGGCTTTGGATCACCACAGCGCGCCGGCCGTAGTGGCTATTTGGAGGGTGAACCAACGGAAAAGGAAGACCTTTCTCTCTCTCTCACTGTCTAACTCTGCCTGTCAAAAAAATAAATAAATAAAGACAGGTTTGGGTGCTGCATTCTGTGTCAGAGTGCCCGGGCTCCCGTCCCAGCTCCACTGCTGATTCCAGTTTCCTGCTGAGTGTACACCCTGGGGGGCGGCGGGTGGTGGTCTAAATACTCGAGTCTCCGCCACCCCTTGGCTCCCAGCTTCAGCCTGGCCCAGCCCTGGTCATCGTGGACATTTGAAGGATGAACTAGTAGATGAGGATTCTCTGTTTCACTGCCTCTCAAATAAATTAATTAAAAAAAGAAAGTACTGATTTATGACAATATATATAGTAAAAAACAGTAGCACATATAGTATTAATCATAATAGAGTAAAACGAAATAAACATTGGCAAATATTAAGTGGGTTATAAGGTTGTTAATAAGGTGTTTCTGGTGAGACTTACTCTAAAAAATTAAATATATTAATGAATTAAAATTCACATTTCCCAGGGCTAGTGCTGTGGCACAGCAGGTTCCGCTGCCACCTGCAACCCTGTCCCTGGCAACCCACATCAGAGTGTCAGTTCACACCCTGGCTGCTCCACTTCTGATCCAGCGTCCTCTAATACTCCTGGAAGGCAGCAGCAGAAGGCCCAAGTACTTGGGCTCCAGGCTCCCAGCTTTGGCCTGGCCCAGCCCAGGGCCAAAGTGAACCAGCGGATGGGAGATCTCTCTCCCTTTCTTTCTCTCTCTCTCTCTCTCTCCCTCTCCCTCTCTCTCTGTAACTCTGCCCTTCAAATAAATAGATCTCTTTTTAAGTTTACATTCCCTAGAATATGACTTATAGAATATGATCATGAAGCACAGTGGGAACCGTGGACGTCAGTGCGGGGTTAAACATGCAGGTGGAAAACCCAGGGTTCACTGTTTTTATAGTTACTAAACTACGTTACTATGATACATGCACTTGGTAAAAAATACAAAATAAATACAGTGAAGAGTTATGGCTTACTCCTACCTGTCCCCTTGCCACCAGCGGTTCCTCACCCCAACTGACCATTATTACCAGTTCCTGGTGTGTCCTCCAAAGACAGTCCGTGTGACATTCGCGTTAGACACAGGATAGCACAGCAGAAACACGCTTTCATATCTTTTAAAAATTGCGCAGCGCCTCCTGGCAACTGCTCCTTGCCGGTGCATGGAAAGTGGCCACCTAGCTTCTAACGGCTAGGTAGAATTCCACTGACCGACTGTGCCATCATTTATTGAACCCGTAATTGCACTGTCAATCGATGGGACTTAGAATCCACTTTGAATAAAACCCCTGGGGGTGAGTCATGACTAATGTGGCACCAGGCGGCAGCAGGAATGGGGGGCTCCTAAATCACAGGGGCTGATGCACAGGGCCCGTTTCGCTCCGCGCACACATGCATTTTCTCCGGCTCAGAACGTGAGCTACCTGAAGAACAGCATCTAACCCTCGAGTCTCAGAGAGAGCAAGGGAGAGCACGGGGCTGCGAGAGGCAGTGCTGGGTTGGAGACATCTGAGAACCCTAAACACAAGCGCTCAGGAGAGCCGCTGGCACACTGCTGCCCTCGAAGCCCTCCCAGCCCGGGTCTGGACAGGGAGCCTCCTCCTGCCTGAGCGCGCGTGCCAGGCGGCCTCCCTCACCCTTCCGGAGGGGCCCCGTGCTCTTCGTCCTCGTCGGTGTCAGAGTCGGTCTCGGAGGAGTCGTCGTCGTCCCCGTAGTCCTCGTCGTCGTTCTCACTGAAGCCCCGCTGGGGGGTCATCTGGGAGGGTGGGCGGAGGGGGCCACGTAAGAGAGGGGCAGCACACCAGCCTGGGCCCGCACTGCTCCCCGCCCCGCCCAGAGCGGCCTGCACGCCGCCTCCTGCTCCTGTCCAGCCACAGACCGGGCACGTGCCAGTCCTCCGCCCGAGGCTGCTCTGTCCTCCCTCCTGTACCCGGGGCCACCCTGAGAGCTCTGCGTGGACGTGACCCCGACTGCGTCAACCCCAAAGCTGAGCGGCACCTCTCTCAGTAATGACTCGGGGAGGAAGCGGGGCAAGGTGGAGCAGGGAACTTTCGAGGATCTTGAGACTCAAAGATCAGCTAGTCTCCCATCTGCAAGGCTGCCCAGGGCAAGGTGCTTGCAACCATCAAGAGAAGAGAGCTCGGGATGCAGCCCGCGCCTGACTTCCGGCCAGTGGTTCCAGAGAAGATGGGTTTTCCGTCTGCATTCACTGACATTTCTCCTCCTGCCCTGGCCCCCCAAGGTAGATGCAAGGCGTAGCTTCCGCCTCACGAGGGTCTCGTGTTCTTGGCATTACAACCTACCTTTCTGAGTTTCTGGCTCTCTAGGTACCACCTGCTGAGTGACAGGCTTCATTCCTGAAGAGCAGTAGAAATCACAAAGCTCCACTCCCGCACGAGTTTCCTGCATGAGCTCAAAGGCACCCAACCACTGGAGACCAGCGCTCAAGAACACGTGCACTGTTGACCTGGTGCCATCTCAAACTAGCTACTAAGACCCCCAGGCAGAAATCCCACAGGAACCCGCAGGTTATATTGTACCTTGTTATTTTCCTCTTCGTACTGATCACTGCTATTATCAGCCCTGGTCTTGCTGCGAAGGCGGGCAGAAGGAAGTCCTTAGAAGAAAAGGTTTCCCTTTAGGTTGTCATGAAGATGACTTGTAAGGAGGACTACTTCTGGTTTATAATATTTTATGCCCCAGCCATTTTATGGAACAGCGTTTATAAGTCCATCTAGCCGGCGCCACAGCTCAATAGGCTAATCCTCCACCTAGCGGCACCAGCACACCAGGTTCTAGTGCCGGTTGGGGCGCCGGATTCTGTCCCGGTTGCCCCTCTTCCAGGCCAGCTCTCTGCTGTGGCCAGGGAGTGCAGTGGAGGATGGCCCAGGTGCTTGGGCCCTGCACCCCATGGGAGACTAGGAGAAGCACCTGGCTCCTGCCACCGGATCAGCGCGGTACACCGGCCGCAGCAGGCTGGCCGTGGCAGCTATTGGAGGGTGAACCAACGGCAAAGGAAGACCTTTCTCTCTCTCTCTCTCTCTCTCACTGTCCACTCTGCCTGTAAAAAAATAAATAAATAAATAAATAAATAAATAAATAAAAATAAGTCCATCTAGCTAAAGGACCGGAGACTGACTTCTAGCCATGGCTGCCACCTGTGAAGCCAGCGTCCCATATGAGCTCATTTTTGAATCCCAGCTGCTCTACTTCCATGCTTCTGATCCGGCTTCCTGCTAACGTGCTGGGAGACAGCAAATGATGGCCCACATATTTGGGTTCTTGCTACCCATATGGGAGAGCTGGATGAATTTTCTGGCTCCTGGCTTCAGCCCGGCCCAGCCCCAGCTGTTACAGGCATTTGGAGTGTAACAGCAGATGGAAGACACCTCTCCGTGTCGCTCCCTCTCTGGTACTCTGCCTGTCGAGTAAATAAATGTTTTGTTTTGTTTTACTTATTTTATTTATTTGAAAGACAGAGTTACAGAGAGAGGTAGGGACAGAGAGAGGTCTTCCATCTGCTGGTTCACTCCCCAGATGGCTACAACGGCCGGAGCTGCGCTGATCTGAAGCCAGGAGCCAGGAGCTTCTTCTGGGTCTCCCATGCGGGTGCAGGGGCCCATGGACTTGGGCCATCTTCCACTGCTTTCCCAGGCCACAGCAGAGAGCTAGATCGGAAGAGGAGCAGCCAGGACTCGAACCAGTGCCCATATGAGATGCCAGTGCTTCAGGCCAGGGCGTTAACCCGCTGCGCCACAGTGCCAGCCCCATTGAGTAAATAAACATTTAAAGAAACCATATCTGGTAGCGAGGTGTACACGCCAAAGAACTGAAATCAGGGACTCAGACGCTCGTACACCTGTTTACAGCAGCACTATTCACGGCAGCCAAGAGGTGCAAACAACCCAAGCGTCCACCAAGCAATGAGTGGCGAGGGGCTGGCGTTGTGGTGCAGCAGGTTAAGCTGCCGCCTGTAACACCAGCATCCCATTCGGAGCCTCACCATTCTATCAAAAATAGGTCTCCCTCCCCACCATTGTTTTCCATAACAGCAAACAATTTTTGTCTCTATCAAAGCACTGATCACATTTGCCATTATCTTTGTTTTTGTTTTTTTCATTTGTCATCTGTCTCCCATGATTCCAAGCAACAGGACGGCAGGGACAATGTGTCTTTTGTCTAAGATATTGTATTCCCAGTGGCAGGCAAAAGGCTGGGACACAGCAGACATCCAAAGATGTCTGTTGAATAAGCGAACCGTATCACGTCCTCTAAGACATCCATTGAGCTCTTGGTTGGGGATGCAGGTTAATGGCAAGCTCTGAAGTATCTTCAAAGCTGAGCAAAGCACAGTTTTGGTAAAAATAAAAACAGCAACAATAACTACTAAGAGAGTGAACTCCTGGCCGACGCTGAACACAGCAGCAACACCAAGTAACTGGTGATGGGGAGGTGAGCACTGTAGCTGCTTGGGATGCCCACCTCCCGTATCAGATTGCCAGTTCAAGTCCTGGCTACTCCACTGAGGCGCCAGCTCCCTGCTCGTGCAACCTGGGAGACAGATGACGCCTCAAGTGCTAGGGCTCCTGTTACCCATGTGGGAGACCTGAATGGAGTTCTGGGCTCCCGGCTTCAGCCTAGCTCAGCCCTGGCTGCTGCTGGCATTGGGAGAGTGAACCAGTGGGTATAAGGGTGCGCTCTCTCTCTCTCTCTCAGCCTTTCAAGTAGTAGGTGAAAATACATAAAACCATTAAGAATTTTTTTTTGGTAAAAAATGGTGATAGGGTTGGGTTGGAAGAAGAATCTGCCATGATTTCTCTTTCTTAACTACTGAGAAAACACACAGTGGCAAGTGGAGTAACGTAACTCTGAAAGTCAGAATTTGCATTACAAAATAGGAACTTTTTAAAAAAGATGTATTTATTTATTAGAGAGGCAGAGGCAGAGAGAGAGGTCTTCTATCCACTGGTTCACCCCCCAGATGGCCACAACAGCCGGAGCTGGGCCATTCCGAAGCCAGGAGCCAGGAGCTTCTTCCGGGTCTCCCATGTGGGTGCAGGGGCCCAAGGACTTGGGCGATCTCCCACTGCTTTCCCAGGTCATAGCAGAGAGCTGGGTCGGAAGTGGAGCAGCCGGGACTCGAGCTCATTGAAGATAACCATGAATCCATCTCGCTCTTTGAAGATCATTTGTTTTCTTTCCTCTTCCTTCCTCTTACCTTGGAGCATAAACATTTGCAACATCTTCCGAGTCGTTAATCTCTAGCCGCTCATCGTACGACTGGTTCTCAACGATCTCGGTCTAAGCAAAAGGAGACCTGCTCACCCGACTCATCGTGGGACACGGGGCGCACTCGGCCCGCCTTCCTACCCAGGACACCAAACCTCTCCTCCGCCCACCCCGCGGTTAACGCAGTCACTCTGCTGCAGGGACTGTCGGCAGCGAGAGGGCACGGCGTTGAGGCAGTCAGCTTCGGGGGCAGCTTCCCCAGCGCCGTCAGATCCGCACAAGGACACAGCAGGATTCGTCCGCAGCTTCCCCGAGGCTGCTGGGGTTTCTCGGGAAGACCCCAGAGGCTCTGGGAAAGCTCCGTCCCGGCGGCAGCCCTGGGGCGGCGCCCCGCAGAGGGGGCGAACCCCAGTCTCCAGGTCCCACCCGGGAGTCCCCAGGAGCATCAGCCCCTGTCCACCCCGTCCGCAGGCCGGATGTCAGTTGAGGGGAGCAACGGGGGGAAGGGGCGCAGAAACGGCCCGCTGTCGTGGAGATGGGAGCAGCGGGAAGGGCGACCCCTCAAACGCCTCTCGGGAGGGAGGAAGGCTGTTTCCTTCCTCGACGAGCACGAATTACCTGTAGCCCCTCTGAATCCGTCTCCTCTACGGGAGAAGAACCCCCGCCCAGGGCTAGGGGCTCACTCCAACCAGCTCTGGCCACTTAACGGATTCTACTTGGAGCAACCGGCGGGTTCGTCGCTAGGCAAAAAGACGAGTCGCGAGATTTGCTTTCATTCTCGTGAGGCCTCCACTCGCCCGGATCTCTGGGCGCAGGAAGGAGGGCCCGAGGAGTCAATGAAAGCCTCTCTGGGCCGCCGAGCCGCTGGTTTGTCTATGATTTAAATAAATGCAGCTGTTGCGCCCTCTAGCGGCCGTGTCTGGCAACGCGGACTGATTCATGTCGGCTCCAGGAGAGTTAGCCCTCCAACTTAGAAGCAAGGCTATAGGTATGCCTTTCCACCCTCCCAGAACAAGGATTGCCGGGCGTGCGACTCCTCCTAGGTCGGTCTAATCAGAATTCACACGTGCTCTCCAGAGAATATTCCACAATGCTTTGTATGTCCTTCTGTAGGAGTTATATCACATTATATAAATATATATAACCCCCTCCACAATGTCCCATCGCATGAGTCATACGATATCCCTGCTTATCTGAGATTCAACTTCACTTTGTGTCCTATATGTTTCTTTGCTAAAGACTGTGCGCTTCCTTAAGGCGGAGTATGTGTCTAATTTTCTCTAGGCATGCTAGCATGTTTCCTAAATTAGGCATTTTAAAAATGGTCATTGAGGGGCAAGCGTGAAGCCTAGTGGTTAAGATGCCTGCGTTCCGCCTAGAAGTATCTGGGTTTGTGTGCCCTGGGGAGCAGCAGTGATGGCTCAAGTAGCTGTGCTCTTGGCCACACTTGGGTGACCACGTTGGGTTCCTGGCTACTGACACCAACAAGGCATCTGCAGAGTGAACCAGCAGCTGGGAGCTCTCTCTGTCTCTCAAATAAGTTTTTTAAAAAGTGGACCCTGAGTGGATGAATCATGAAATGAGTAAGAGGCAAGTATTTTACTTTCTAAATGCTTGTTCATTCTCATTTTAATTGAAAGGTAGAACTATATATAAAGACCCATTAGTTCACGCCCCAAATTCTCACCATAGCCAGGGCTGGGCCAGACAAGTCAGGAGCCTAGAACTCTGTCCAGATCTCCCATGCAGGTGGCAGAGGCCCCCCATGCAGGTGGCAGAGGCCCAAGTTCTTGAGCCATCATCTTCCTCTTCCCAGGAAGCTTATTGGCAGGAAGTGGAGTAGCCGGAACAAGAACCAGGCACTCCCATATGGGATGTGGGTGTCCCGAGCAGCAGTTAAACCTACTGAGCTACAATGCCCACCCCGGTCCCTGCCTTCAACCATACTGACACATGGCCTCTAAGGCACTCCTCTCGCAGCATGCTTGCAGGAATGCGGCTTCTTTTGCAGTTTAATTCAGGTAATGTCCTATTTTCAAGGAATCAGTATCAGTTGATATTTGTGAGTTTCTGAGGACCAGACTGGGGACTCTGGAAGCTGGCACAAGAAAGCAATAATTCCAAACAGAATTTCTACCTTGTAGAAAAAAAAAAAACTGTTCTTTCGTAAAGGCTGTGTGCTTTTTATTAACAAAAATAAAAATTACAGTTTGACATATATCCTTTCAGATATGAAAATCTGTATGCTTTCTAAAGATTCTATTAGGAAGCCACTGGAAATGGAATTGATATGGGTAAGAACGAGATGTCTGCAATGAAGTGCTCAAGGCAATAGGTTCTGAAGTTGGGAGAAGGCTTTCTTTGATGACTGGCTTTTCCACTTTCTAGCCGGGAGACCTTTGATAGAATAGGTCTCCTCTCTGTTGCTTGATTTCCTCATGGGTGAAATGAAGATAATCATTGTCCCTGCCTCTGAGGATTCTTTTGCAGATTAAATGAGATACTTGGTGTGAAGAAGTGACAGCAATGCCGGGGACATCGTAAGTATTCAGTACATGTTTAGGAACACACAGGCCATAAGGAGAGGCATTGCCTTGTAATGGGAAAAGCTGGGTCTGAGTCCTGGCTCTCCCACTTACTGACCGTGAGTTTGGGCAGGTGCTTAATTTCTTTGATCCTTAGTGCCCTTCTCTGGATTGCTGTAAAGGATTAGAGGTAACATGTAAGACACCAGACACAAAATGAGTGCTGCATAAGAAAAACAGTTGTTATCTTTTCTCACAGACATGTAGGGTTTTTTATTAAGATGTATTTATTTGAAAGGTAGAGTTATAGAGAGAGAGGAGAGAAAGAAAGAGAGAGAGAGAGAGAGATCTTCCATCCACTCGTTCATTCACCAAATGGCTACAACAGCCAGGACTAGGCCAGGCTGAAGCCAGGAGCCAGATGCTTCTTCTGGGTCTCCCCTGTGGGTGCAGGGGCCCAAGCATTGGGGCCATCCTCCACTGCTTTCCCAGGTGTATTAGCAGAGAGCTGGATTGGAAGTGGAGCAGCCGGGACTAGGACTGACGCCCATATGGGACACCAGCGCTCCAAGCCAGGGCATTAAGCCGCTGCACCTCAGCGCCAGCCCCCTTGGGTTCATCTCTTAAACTTGCCATCATTCCACTCATGCACCACAAATGGACCTAAACTCAATAACTGCTCTGCTCTGAGCGTTTGAAAAAAAAAATGATTTATTCATTTGAAAGGCAGAGTGACAGAGAGAGAGGGAGAGAATGATCTTCCGTCTTCTGCTTCACTCCCAGATGGCTGCAGCAGCCAGGGCTGGGCCAGGACAAAGCCAGGAGCCTAGAACTCCAACAGGATCTCCCACTTAGGTGGCGGGGCCCAAGCACGCGGGCCACCTTCTGTCGCCTTTCCAAGAGCACTGGCAGGGAGCTGGCTCAGAAGCTGAGTAGCAGGGATTCAAACGGGCACTCCGATATGGGATGCCAGCGTCGCAAGCAGCAGCTTAGCCTGCTGCCCCACAATGCAGCCCCCCAACCCCAAGCATTTTCATTACTTCAAAAACATGCCTCACACCCGTTAGCAGTCACTCACAATCCTCACCTTCCTGAGCCCCCAGAAACCACTAATATTCCTTCTGCCTCTATGGATTTGCCTATTTGGGACATTTCATACCAGTGGGGTCATAAGCTATGGCCTGCTGTATTTGGCTTCCTTTACCTAATATATTTCCAAGGCTCATCCATGCTGTAGCATGTACCAGCTCTTTTTTCCTTTATATATCTTGTTTCTTTGGGTTGCTTCCACTTTTTGGCTACTATAAATAATGCTGCTATGAACACTAGGTTATAAATTTTTGTGTTAGGCTTTCTTTTTTTAAAAAAAAGATTTATTTATTTTACTTGCAAGTCATAGTTACACAGAGAGAGAAGGAGAGGCAGAGAGAGAGAGAGAGAGAGAGAGAGAGAGGTCTCCCATCTGTTGGTTCACTCTCCAGATGGCTGCAACCGTCGGAGCTGTGCAGATCCAAAGCCAGGAGCCAGGAGCTTCTTCTAGGTCTCCCAAGTGGGTGCAGGGACCCAAGGAGTTGGGCCATCTTCTACTGCTTTCCCAGGCCACAGCAGGGAGCTGGATTGGAAGTGGAGCAGCTGGGACTCGAACCATTGCCCATATGGGATGCCGGCACTGCAGGCAGTGGCTTCACCCGCTACGCCACAGCGACGGCCCCAGATTTTCTTTTAGGCAATTATTTGTCTATTTAAGAGACAGAAAGAGAGAAACACAGACAGAAGAGAGACCCCATCTTCCCAGCTTCCAGTTAATTCCCCACACGCTTGCGAAGGCTGGGGCTGGGCCAGGTGGAAGCAAGGAGCCGGGAATGCAATCCAGGTCTCCTGTGTGAATGCTGCCGATACAACTACTTGAGCCACCACGCGCTACCTCCAGGGTGCCCAATAGCAGGAAGCTGGGGTCAGGAGCAGAGGCGGATCCTAACTCAGGCACTCAAGCATGGGATGTCCTTGTCTTAACTGCTAAGCCCAATGCCACCCCACATATATTTCCAGTTCTCTTGAGAGTGTACCTAGGAGTGGAACTGCTGGGTCATATGCTAACCTCGTTTAACTTTTTGAGAATCGCAAGCTTTTCAAAAGGAGCTGCACTATTGTGCATTCCCACTACCGGCAAAGCATGAGGCTTTACATTCTCCACATCCTCACACTGATTACTTTTCTTAATCTCAAACATTTATTTATTCTTACTTACTTGAAGGGCAGAGAGACAGAGACAAATGGAGAGAGATCGTCCATCGAGTATTTCGGAACCAAATGCCTGCCTGCAGCAGCCAGAGCTGGACCAGGCTGAAGCCAGGAGCCTGGAGCCCCCCCTCCCCCGCCCCGCCCCATCTGCCAAGTGGGTTAGAGGATCCGCGAACTTGAGCCATCAGCAGCTGCCTCCCAGGATGTGCGTGAGCAGGAAGCCTGTTTGGAAGTGGAGGAGCCGGGACTCAAACCCAGGCACCCCAATATGGGACGCAGGTGCCCCACGCGGTGTCTTAGCTGTTGAGCCAAAGGCACGGCCAACTGGCTGTTTTATAGCCGCCACCCTAGCGGGGGTGTACAAGTGCACTGTAGTATCGACTCGCATTTCCCTAAGTCTACACATTTTGTAACGTTCTCATCAGCCGTCTTTATGTCTTCTTTGGAGAAATGTCTACTCCTATCCTTTCCTTTGTCAATTTTTAGATTGGAATATGTGTGCACTACCGAGTTGTGACAGTTCTTTCTATATTCTGGATACTAGTCCCTTTCCCGCACAGGTTATTTAAAATATTGAACGACCCAGGGGTTGTGAGAGGGGCTTTATGTACTGCAAAGCTGGACGCAGCATACACAAAAGAAGGCGGTGCGGGGAGTAAAAGGACTGCAGTCCGAGGTCCCCCAGCCGGGCAGAGCCCCCTCCCCGTCCAGCGCAAAGCCAGCGCCCAGCCCCGCACCCACAATTCCGGCCCCCCACGGCCCGCCCTCCGCCCTTTGACCCGCGCTGTTTCCGGTTGGAGACGTGGCTCGGGGCCGCCATCTTGGCTAGAGGCGAAGCGGCTGCGGCTCCTGTCAGGGGGCGGCAGGTCCGGAGAGGCCGGTGCTCGCCTTCCTCTCACCTCAGCCCTAGGCCCAGTGGAACCGGAGCGCGGGAGCGCCCCACCACCGCCCTCGCCATGGTAAGATCCCAGCCAGGTTTGAACGCCGGGGGCCGGGCCTGGCTTGCCCGCTGTCCCTGCCGGCTGGCGCGGAGCTGGCGCCGGCGGAGCCCAGCCTCGGGGGTCTGGAGCCGGCT